CTCTACTGCACCATTAGTTTCTTAGAGACATAAGGTATCACCTTCCTGTGTTGCATAAGCACATACCCAAAACCCACTCGGGATGTGTCACAATACACAAACAAAACCCTTTGTACCCTTCAGTAATATCTAAACCACAGTAGAAGTACGCCTATGTTTCGAAAATTGTCCTCCGACCACACTAACTTTTTACTCTTTTGGGTAAGAGTAGTCAAAGGAGACGCAATGGACACGAACACATCCACGAATTGCCAATAGTAATCTGCTACACCACGAAACTCCTAATATTTGTCAGAGTCAATGGTCTAGGCAAATTTTTTACCTCTTCTGTTTTCCTTGGGTCTACCTAATCCCCACTATAGATAATGTGTCATACAAAAGTCATTGACCTGAACGAAAACTCACACGTACTACATTTAGCATACAATTGATGTTCTTTAAGGGTTTGCATCACTACCCTCAAATCACCCATGTGATCATCCTCATTCTTTGAATATAAAAAAATATCATCAATAAACACAATGAAGAATGATCCTTCGATCGGAGACCATAGAAGGATCATATTTGGAAAACTTATTGAATTCAAAAGAGTAATCATGGAAACTCTTCCCTCCTTGACAATGATTGATGAACTCTGTCACTTTCTACTCCCTCATCTCTCTAGGGAAGAACTGATCTACAAAAGTAGTCTTAAAGATCTCCCAAGTCATCGGACCACCCCGGAATGACCTATTGCCCCTCCATTGAACATACCATGTTTGAGCCATATCCTTGAGTTGATATGAAGCCAAATCGTCCTTCTCACTTGAAGAGACCCCCATAGCATATAGCATCTTGTAGACCTCATCGAGGAATTTTATGGGGTCTTCATCAACCTTATAACCATATACAATAGGAGGGTTTATTCGAGTGAAGTCGCTTCGACGGGAAACCATAGTTGTGACTTGTTGTTGAGAACAAGGAGAAGCATCCCCATTGGCTTAAGCCATCATAGGTTGGGCTTAAACCGTGGCGGCTTGTGCTTGCTAAGTAAAGGCTTGAGCCATTTGATAAATAACAACCCTCATCTCCTCCTCTTTCATAGATGAAGGGTCAATCAGATCTTGATCAACATTAGCATTTTCATCAAGTGGAGGGATTTGGTCATCATGGGGATGAACTCCCGCATTAGCAACATTCTCTTCAAATATTTGAACCGCATTCCTTCGAGTGTTCATACTTCCTATAAGCACAACGATAGGATTTAGATGCAAAAGCACACCATAAGTATACTCTATTTGCACGACATAACATTTCCAGGAAAGAGAGTGATTCCTAAGCATCATGTAGGTTCCTACTTATAAGTGTGGCGCGCCTTACAATTATAAATACAAACCTATATAGTTGTTGTATAAAGAGAGAGACATAACTCAATGATTTTCAACGTCATGGTCTACTACCATGTTTATCACATCCGGGTTTACCCCCTAGACTAACAGGCATCCTCGACATCTTGAAGTACTAAGACTAGCCTCTTAGGTTAATGTCATTACAATTATAGATTTAAAAATGCAGAAACAGTCAAAACATTCATTATCACTACTCGGAGGTTTACATAGACCTCTACATACACATTGTGTGTGTGTGTGTGTATATATATATATATATATATATATATATATATATATATATTCATATCAAGTATACATATAAATTTTATATAGGAAGGTTACATATCCTTTCACTTTTAGTGAACATACATATAAAAGAATATTGAAAATTTTCTCAATGACTGCCTCATCTCATACCATCTAAATAGATATCACAATAGGGGCATAGCCCTTACAATAATTCAACAAGACCATGTATAGGTCATACGAAAGTATAATATTCAAATAAGAAGGAAAGAAATGATACAGTCAATAAGATCATAACAAAATCCAAAGATAGAAGATGGCATTACCGTCGAATGTTGAAGACCTACCAAACTTGGATAAAAGGAATAGTATAAGCATTCAATAATATAGCCTCCCAAAGCTTCTCAACAAGCAAAACTTAAAATAATTGGGAAAAAGGGAAGAAAATGGTGTTAGTACTTCACATGTACTAAGTATGAGATTTGATGCACATACACAAGCAAAACATGCAAAAAGGACTTTTTAACAAAATATGCCGAGTTATCCTTTTAGGGAACTAATGCAAAGTCAAGTATGTCATATCAACCAACCAAACATGCTTACTATCTCAACAAGTAATACTTATCCCAACATACTTAAAGTCATGATTTACTAGAACCCTAACATCAAGGAATACTATTACTAGAATGATTAAGAGTCAAACATATCATAATAAGCAAGATAACAACTCACAAGTCCTTATACAGTCAATAAGTGCAATGACCAAGCAATGCCCCATAACCTGATTCAATAAAGTATACTCCACATGAAAACATGAGAAATGTACGAATTTACATATCAAGGAATTTAGGCTTGCATTTAATCGTATATTATCATTATAATCATGGCATTTAGGCTTGCATTTCATCGTATATTATCATTATAATTCAAGGCATATTCGTTAATTAACTATTAAACATGTAGTATCAATAGTGGTACATATACATCATATATACATCAAATATTATCATAACATAAACATATAAAAACCTCCTCCTAAGACTCCCCTTAGGCTAACTACTTCAATGTAAGGGTAGAGCCCCATACCCCAACCTAGACTAAACTAGACATCGTAGGTTATCCAAGTTAGGGTTCAAATCCTCTTATTTATATTACATTCTTGAAACATCTTTCCCTAGCCGACATAGATCACATGAACTAGTGTGGAATCCGATGTCATAAAACCCTACACTGACAGAAGGCGGACTACTTGCCAAAGTAGTACCAAAAGATGAAACATAGAAACTACGTAGATCTACTAGCTAGTATTCCTATGGGGGAAACATAGCTCAACAACTAGGAGATTTAGTTGGGAACCTCTTTCTGCTCATGCATTACAGTCTCTTATCTCAAGAGTAATGTAGTGTTCCTACCTTCCCTATGTGGGAAAGGACACTACTCTATCTAGTTCACTCAATGCTAAGATAGAGTCACTTTTTGAAATGTCTTTAAGTCTTTTATTATCAATCATAACTTAATTTAGGCCATAGAGTCAACCCCTTGTATAATCATCATCATCAATAACTCCATAAGAATTGTTTGAGTATAATTCCTTTTATTACAATTCATATAAGTGAGGTTAAAACATTAGCATTTCATAACATATTAAGGCTAATTCATAGTTTTCACCATCCTTATAGCACATACACCTTAATAAACCTCACAACATAGTCAAGAAATGTCAATTAAACATCATTAAACCCTATAATCCTAGTATAAGGCATATTCCAATGTAATATCATGGGTTAACAATATTTAATCACATCGGAAGTAAAGATAGAGATTCTAAGACTTACCAAGTCTTTCTCATAGTTTATCATCAAGGTTTACCATAAATCCATAACTGAACCCAACTTGGGGAGTAAGATGATCACACAATGATAACCAATAAGATCAACGCCAATTGCATCTCTATCAAAAAATTCATCTTTAGATCAAAACTTTAGTCAAGGTATATGGGCTAATTTCACATTGTAATTCACTACCCTAAATATCACATCTCAAGACATGATAGGCCTATAACTCATTTTAATTCAATCGTAATAACACCATAGAATAGTAATCTATTAAACAACCAACACAATTGAATGATCACAATACAATATAGGTCAGGATCACTACCCAGGGTTAGGGATGGAGAATCATACTCTTCAATTTTTACCATCAACAATCACCATAAAAAAGCTGAATTACACGCTAATCTACTCAATATAACCCAAAAAATTCATTAACGACTTAATCCATAAATTCAATTTTCTAATTGAATGAAACCCATATGAAAACTCATCTTTTTTAAATCTATTTTAAAGGAACCCTTTGAGGAAAGGATCTCAAAGAAGAATAGAACCCTTAAATTAATATTTATAAACAATTTTATGAAGAATCCACCCTTATTCGGCCCCAATTCACCTTCCAAGCTAAGCTTCTAATGGCGTTTTGCAATTAGAGAGAGAAAGAAGAGAGAAAGAAGAGGGTTCATTTGAGAGTTATGTTTTGATTAATGAGGGTGCAGGGTATTTATAGTAGGACATAATAATCATAATTAGTCTATATTTTGTCCCCAACTAACCCCTAAACCACTTAATTAATTACTTGAACTTAATTTTAACGTGCTGGAATTTGCAGACCCCATCGATGAGACCTCGATCGACAGACCTTTGGTCCATCGATGGTCCCTGCTACAAATCCGTAAGTTTGTTCATTCACTGGTTCATACGAGGCTTTTCTCCAATTTTCTAATTGTGGGATGACGGTGGCATCGACGCCCTATCGATCCATAGATGGATTATATCCAGCACCTCCTCACTCCGTCGATGATTCCAGAAACCGTAAAGGGGAAGGGACCTTCTCTACTAGCCTATGTGTGGGAAGACAGTGGCATCGATTCCCCTTCGATGCCAGAAACCGTGAAGGGGAAGGGACCTTCTCTACCAGCCTAAGTGTGGGAAGACGGTGGCATCGATTCCCCTTCGATCCACACATGGGGCTGTGATATGTCCCATCGATGCTCATTGCCTGGCAATGCTTTATCAAACTACACGGGTCCTCCTCAAGGGCCCTTTATTGGTCCTTGGGGAGTTGTACCCATACGTTTTAACAATGGAACAACTCAAACAACCATTAGTTACCTTTACACAAACGTTCTCACAATTCCGACTCCTAAAACATAGTTAAGTAGGCTAAGGCACATTATCATTCGTTTGAACTTACTTCCTGGACGTTTTGGACGTTTTGTTTCTTAAGTATCCTAAATGACCTATATCCATTAAAAATAGACTTAGAGACAGTTTGTAGACTTTATGAACCTATGTTAGGTTTAACAATGATTCTTGGATTTTTTTGAAGGTGTTACAGAGCTACATGGAAGGTCGTGGCCGACATGAAGTCCCACTATCTTCACCCTTGTTTGTATAATTCCTATTCAAGGCTAAGATTAGTAATTCCTTATATGATTTGTATGTATATTATTGAACTTAACATGTTTTCTTCTAATACGTGCATATTGTACTACAAATTAATGCCCAATGTTATGTTTTCTTGAAACATGTTTCTTATGATTAGCTTTCACTTAAGTATGTATTGTGCTATATTTATTCATAAAATTGTATTAAGCATTCTTGATGTTGTTGTGATTAGAAATCATCATGTAAAACTGTTGATGTTCCAATCAAAGATCTCATATTGAAGTGGATAAGGTAGTGCCTCCTTATATGATATGAAAAAGTTGAGCTTGAGTATATGGTTTGTTATGAGTTAACTTACTATCTATTGTTTCTATGATTATAAATTGATTGGAGACAATGATTCCTCTAATGATCTTTGACTCATTTTATTATATTGTTGTTGGTTGGGCTGCTAGTCTTGAGTCTCTTCTTCACTTATAAGTGTCTAGAGTCTCATTCTGGGACAGATGTTCCTAAGGGGGGGAGTATTGACAAACCCCGAAAATTCAATGACATATAATAGAAACATATATGTTTAATAATTATGGTTTAAGACCTAAATAAGTGTAAATAACCTATTTGAGAAATATTGGGGCCATAACATTAAAGAAATGCCTTAATATCCGGCTCCAACACTTCGAAAGTCTAAAACGTGTTGTAGAGCATAAGAAAGTGTCAAAAGGTTTACACACTATTTTAAGGTCTATTTTAACCAATATAATTCATTCAATAGGTTTAGAAATCAGAACATCGAAGAACGTCCATGACATCTGGAAACTAGACAAATAAGGTCCTAGTGTGCCTTAGTCTATTTGACTAAATTGTGTGAGTCGGAAAATTATGAAAATTAGTGGAAGAGTATCTAACATGAATTATAGTTAGTTCATGGTAAAAAAATTTGGGTACGACTCCCTAAGGACCAACCAAGGTCCCTTGCATTTTTGCAAGAAACTGCCAAAAGGTAGTGTGCACAAATGATTGCCAATCAACGGATTATGTGTCAATTGACGGGGGTGGATTGACACGATTGATGAACACTCAAAGAATATTCATGGTAGGATTTTTTAAACACTCTTTGACTTAAATGACGGACCAATAGGACGGTTAGTCCCTTTGCTATCGTTTGAAAAAAAGACTTTTTGTCGTGGTCTCGTTTGTGAACACCGTCTTTTGTTGCTCACTTAAATTTAGTGAAATTAATTAATTAGGTGGTTATTTAATTAGTTATAGGTTAAAGGAGGTCAATTTAAGTTAGTTAATGACCTATATAAAGACCCTAAGCTAATTAAACTAACCTAAGACATTATAATTCCCAAAGCCAAAACTCTCTTCCTTGTCTCTTCTTTCTCTCTACCAGGTTGATGAACTCCATACAATAAAAGGTCAAGGTGGGTTTTAGGGTTGAAAGCACAAAGGTTTCTCCATTAATCTTCATCAAACACTACTATATGTTATTCCTTTCACCTTTGAGACGAAATAGTGCTGATGATGTGATGAACATGAATGTGTGGCTACGGTCGAGTCCAAGTGAAGTCGCATAGACAATATGTTAACTTTTTGCATCTCGTCGTGATTAGTAAATTTTCATATTCAATTTTTTGTGATGAACATTGCATACTAGTGAAAATGTGGAGTATTCTTTGACATTGGTTTCAATAATTTGTGTTATGAGCTTACCGTGAACTATGCATGATAACACAACTAGAATTTACTATGTTGGTCGGGTTAATTAATTCATGCAATCTAATGATATTATCCATGTAATCCTTGAAAATGTGAAACAGTTTGACATATACCTCTTTTATGACCTACCTTGTCAGTATGGGTGAACCTTTTTTGAACAACCCTTGAGACATACCTTTTCTTGTATGAAATATAATGAAAAAAATTACCTTTCTTAATCAATTACCCATAATCCTCTTTAAATTTTGTTGATTCAATAGACAACCTAACCTTGTATGGTGAAAAGAGAAGGCAAGTGAAGAAGTACAAATAAAAGTCTTCTTTAACACATGGTGTTGAGAAAAATGGAACTCCTCCATACAAAAAAATAGGAAAGAGAAAAAATAAAAGATTAGTATGAAAATAAAATTTATGAAATAAATTTGGGAACATGCAAAAAGAAATGGGGTCCCCGAAAAATCCATTTAAAAGTGACTAATGGGATGACTTATAAACATGTAAGTAACTAATGAATGCGAGGAAATAAAGTTTTGTAAGTACAACATTTGACATTACCTTTTCAATCATCCCGTTACAAATCATGAAAAGTCTTTTTGTTTTAATTTTTAGTGGGATGAAGCAAATATTGACTGGAAAATACAAAAAAGCATATGGGTTAAGTCATGCATTTCGTTAATCTTTGTCAGTGTATGTGTTGCAGTTTACTCAAGAACATAAATTCATTAACCATTGTGTATGAAATTCGATTCTTTTGTATGAGTCTAGTAAAACACTTTTGTTGAGCTTGAACTTGCATTTGATACATGTATTTCGAGCTTGAGAATCTTTTATAATGGTGTGTCACAACTTGAGTTATTGAATAAACAATTGATCTTTGCATAAGTAATTTGAATATTGTTATGGATATTAATGATTGAATCATATGTTTCACTATTTGAGACATCCCTTTTGAACTCCTAAACATGAATAAAAGCAAAAGTTCAAATTGGAGGTCTTGATGAGAACACAAATTGAACTAATTTACTAACTTCACTTTTAGAGATTTGGTGTTCGCAAATTTATATTTTTTTCTCAATGATTGATGTAAGTCCTTATGTATTAGGGATTTGAATTATGACACAATGCATACTAATACAAAGAAAAAGGCAATAAGATAGTTGGAAGAACAAACGAAAGAAGGTTTGACGATCGCCTAAGCATCTTTGTGAGTTTTCATATACCTTTAACTCCCCAAAAGTGTTCCAAAGTGCTAAGACTAAAGTTCAAGGAAAATAAAGACCTGGTAGTCACCATGTCTCTCGTCAAATAACAAAATGGACCATAAAAATACAAAAATAATTAGAATGCTGGAGCAAAAATTGGGAAAAATGACGGCGACTAGCAAGATAATTCAGCGTGTTAGATCGCTTAATCAACAAATTTTCTAAGGATAATTTTAAAAAAATCTAAATATGTGAGATAAAAAGAAAATGGCGAGTAGCGGAACTGGTCGCCAACCTCATTTTGAATTGCCTAAAACTATAGTGGTAGAACCAAGTATGAGTGCAAAACAAAGGAGAGGTAATGAACACTCATCATGAGACCGAATGGTCGCCAAACAACGACTAACTTCGCTGAGAGGTCTTACACAGCTACACAGCGGAATTGTTTAAATAGCATTTTGAAATGGCAGAAAGGAATCCAAAAAAAAGAGAGAAGATACGTGAATGACAAAGAAAATTTTCGAAGGACTTTTGTATAATATTTTAGATTTTTATCCATTCTTGAATTGTCATTTGTTCCCAAGAATGGGATTAATGAATAATTTTGATTTTCGAATTTTTATATGAGAGGCAAAAACCTTTCACTTGGGGTTTTGATAATGAGGCTGATTGTCAAATTTACTTAGTGGTCATTTCTTAATTGTGTAAAATGAGGTTATTTTGTATAGGTCTAAGTTGTTGTTATATTTTGAAACTTAATATTATGGTTTTATGTAACTAATCAGTGTTGTGCACTTGGTTAAGGAAGAGGTTTAGAACTATTGTGGTAATCTTAGCGTTCATGGTAGTGGGTCTTTTGGTTTCAAGTCAAGAGAGTGAGAAAAAGTATCCAGCGTGTATCAAGCTAAAGAGAGTGAATTATATGAGGGAAAAAAGTTGGGCATTTAATCTTGACGTTCCAGAGAATTCAACATTAAAAAAAGTAATTGTTTGAGATAAAGTTTTCTTGTATATGGTTTGACCTACCTTAAACGAAATACTCCACTACAATAGTAGTTTTTACCCATTTTGTTTATGTTGGCCAATTGGATTTTCAACTCCCCAAGTTTTTCTGTACTAGTTCATTGCTTACGTTAAAACGTCAGTCTGAAATGATAGGTGAAGACTCATGTTTCAAAGCTTAGTATTAACTATATAAGCAGTGTTGATTTGAGAGTTTGTTATTAAAATTTAATGATTGCACTTAAATGAAGTATGACTCCCTTCTAGAATAATCACAACCTATTTTGTTTGGTGATATATTCACTGAGTAGTGTTTGTACTTAGCATTGGATAATGCGAGCTGATACGTTAATCAATAATAATATTACCCAGAGGGTTAATCATTTTTTATTACCGTGCAAAATAATATCACTGCCTAGTGAGGAATTTTCTTCATTCATCATCAAAAAATAATATTTATCTCATTGCTCAGTAAGGCATCCTCGACATTGGCAAGTGAGGCGCCATATTTTATAGCCTAGTCAGGCACCTACTTCATTCCATCACAAAATAGTTGTTAATATTTAAGGATTATATTTCAAATAGGAGACTATATGTTTTATTTTGTCTACGTCAAACTTAAATAGGATGATGTCAAGTATTATAAGGGAGTAACGAAGTTTCGACATGGTAAAAGAAACCAATTATTAATTTGAGTTACATTTTATGATAATAAGTTTTAGCTTGGTATTTGTCGAAAGAATCCAAGAGAATAAATTTTAAAAATAACCACATTAGCGGAAAACATATAACATGATACAACAGAACATGGATTTGTTTTTAGAAGTGAACTCAGACATAGTTCGTAGAGGAATGTCAAATTGTTAGTGTGCGAGCTATATTCAGTTTCATAGCCGAAAAATTTTAGTTTTCACTAGAAGGAGCTTTCGAATTTGAGTGGCAATACAGGAAGTTATTGGGAAATTATGTCAATTTAAGTTCATAATTATGGGTGAGAAGCGAGTCACACTGATTGATAAGATGTTTCAAGCCTCTTAGTATACTAGATTTTCATTTTAACATATTGAGTCCAACTACAAACAATCTACTTCCTAGTTTTTAAGGTTATGCAGGAGGGATTATTGTTGAAAACTCACTATATTCCAATATTCTGACTTGAATCTATTTCTAAAGCATTAGATCTATTCATAATTTTGTATTGAATAGCTTCTAGATTCTGTTAGAAGCATGTGATCTCAACCGTATAAGCTACAAGTGTTTTTAATTTTTAAATAAAATGAGATATGTAGGAAAACCAATGTCGTGCTTCGACAATAATTCCTAATGTCCGTAAGAATATCTTTTCTAAAAGATGAAGATTA